TATATATATATATATAAAAATATATAAAAGCCTTCAACACTGAAGAAAATGAGGACATTTCAATCATGGATAGAAAAATCAACAGTGGAATTTAAACAAAAAAAAAAAGCAGAAAAATCCAAGCATTCAATAGCTGCCCTTTTAAAAAGATCTTAAGACAACTACTTCCTTACTAATTAAATGTGAATGCATTTACTACTTTACAACCAGTTACATAAGCTCACAATGTATGTTATTCACATAATTTCAGATACAATCCAAAAATAACATTTAAAAAGATAAACAAAGTACACGGAAGTTTAAAGGCACAAAAGAGAAAAGCAGCTTTACATCTTCGTTAATGCATACATGTGAAGTCTGATTGGAATATATTTGGAAAAATAAGTTTTTAAATGATACAAAAAAAGACATCTCAATGTTTGCACACTGTGAAACAAGCCACGATATACTCCTCAGCATTCAGATTAAAAATATTTCTCTAATGATGACTCCAGAACAAAGGTGGGGGAGGATGGACTGAGCCCTTCCCACTCCCTGACCATCCACGTACATGGGCTAATGTTCAGTAGTCCACCTTAAGACAAAAAAAAAGGTGTCATCTTCTATCTGTGTTTGGTTAAAATGAGAAGAAAAGGGTAATGGAGGTTTTCCTCATACATATCTTTTTCTTCATTTTTCAACTGCAAATAAAAGATGGATAAAGTGAGCAAACTGTATGAAGGCATTTTTAAAATACTGACAGTTCTTGCTTAACTATATCCCTTAGTGCAAATGATACTACCAAAGATTAAACATTTAATAACTGCAAAAAGAAATCTTACAGTCAAATACTATCATAGTCATGGAACAGTATGTCAAATATTATCAGGAGCTGGTCAGTTTGTAGACAGAATAATTCATGCAATAAATAGTTGAACACTGCTTACAAAAAAAGTGAGGTCCCAGATATCTATGTTAAATAACTTATATTCAAGTGAGAATCGAGGCCTGAATTAAATTCCTTTAAGCAAGGAACTTCAGAAAAAAGGCTAAAAGTTTATCCCTAATCAGTCTATCTATTGCCGTACATTTGGTATTTAAGATCAGCAATGGTTTCAGACCTCTAAAATACTATAACCTTACCCGAAAGTTTACATAAGTGCAAGCCACTTCCAAGGTTGTATATGCAGTTCTTGATGGGCTTATTTAGTAATTCTGTTTAATTAAAAAAATTTTGTTATTGTAAGAGAACATGAGAGTGGTACAGCTCCAATTGCTAGGGATAATGCTATGTGTGCTCTTTGGTTCTACACTAAAAAAAATCTATTTCCAAAAAAATAATGAATGTTTATTTTCTTAGGTATTCTAGTTAAATGTGATTTAAAATATATATTCATATTAAACTGAAGTATGTGGAAACTACTCATACGTACTACATATTGTAATCACCTCACAAAAAATATTTGCATATTTTTAACATAAGCGAAAAAAGAAATGTAAAATAAAAGTGCCTTTAGCCATGCCTGACACAGATGACCCCCTGACACACACCCCAAAATACTACATTTGTAACCAGAACTCTTCTTGTCCTGTGCTGATTTGCCTTTATTTTCCTTGCCGTGCGTTAAGGATTTTAGTTGGTCCGTGTCACAACATTGCTGGCGTTATTTAAAAAAAGGTCTTTCCCATATCATATTCTTGAACTGTGAAGTGCCTCTGTGTAAGCTACTGTCTATGAGCAATTAACATACTTTTCCTTTTTCGTAGTGGAACATAAAGCTGATCTATTCTTTAAATTCTAATCCACTTTACTAAGAAGTGTTTGTGTATAATTACTAACGTAACGACAATCTGCTTCCCAAGAAGATCTCTAACTTTACCACAGGTGCTTCATGTTGTTTGCACAGGATTACCCATCAGTTTCATGCTATCCTGGCAATTTCTGCATGAAGAGAAGCTACATTTCATTTGTACCTTAAGGTTTTATCAGCTTTCCAATTTCAATGAGCCACGAAAGAAAAGAGAGTTTGGAGAAGTAGGATGGTACGTGGCCAACCGTATTTTCCTACCCTTATTTATTTGTTGGACTCCACTTGTTGGG